CAACCAAACATGGATCTCCCTTTTTAAAAATTGGGCTAACTACTCCCGTTTTAAGGTCACTTGGAAACTTGCCACCCTTAACAGATAGGTTGATGATGTGAGACAGAATAGGAGATATATATGAAGAAATGTATTTAATTATTTTAGTGGGGATTTGATCAATACCTACTGAGCTGGTATAGTTTAAGGAAGCATTCTCAATATCAAATGGTGAGACCTCAGAAAAAAAAATGTGTTGTTAATTGTAATAGTTGTGAAATCGTTAAAGGTATAGTTATTGAAATGTTTTAATAATGTGTGTTTGACTGATGTACAAAAATACTCACCAAATTTGTTTGCTATGTGTTCTGGATGTATCAATAATTTATTATTATCAGTAATACTCTACTCAAAATTGTTTTTATTTTTACCAGTTTGACGATTCACAGTTTTCCATATCTTCTTCTCTCTTCTGTTATTATTTTGATTATATAGATAACTTTAATATGAGGCTTTTTGTATCATTTACCTTACGGATAAAGTTGGCCTTTTGTATTTTATAGTTATACATTAAATCTCGATTACCACTAACATTTGCTAGCTAACTAAATAAATCTTTCAGCTTTTTACTAAACTGAAGAATTTCAGTATTGATCAATTTTCTGTTGGTATTGGTAGTTATGCGTTTTGATATTAGGGGACATGTAAATGAAGATTTAAGACGAAGTACAGATGTTACCGATGTAATTCTCCGAATTGCCACACTGAAATGGAACAGGTTTGAACGTGTCCCCCGAATCAGTGATAAAAGGTAGACGAAGAGATTGCTTGAGTGCAGGCCGAAGTTAGACATAGGAAGTAGAGAAAAACCCCCTACTCATTGGACTGATGATGGACAATGTGCTCAATGGACAAAAATTAGGTAGGCCTATGTCCAGCAGTGGATGCAAAGGGCTGGGTGATGATGATGAGCTACAATACAAAACAGCAACCAAACTGTATAATTTCTGTGGGTTTTCACACATTGGTCTTCATTGACCCGTTTAAATTCAAAACTTCGCGAAGCGAAAGCATACGTACAACCATGGAAATATCAAATTCCCAATAGAGCTCACCAAGACGTTGTTACTAGACTTCGGCTAGAACATACCCGAGTTATCCACGAGCGTATAATTAGTCACACTAGTCACATTTTTTGTGAAAAATGTTCCACTCAGTGTTAAGCATGTCCTTGTAGAGTGTCCAAGATACCAGTTGCAGAGAGAGAGAGAGACCAACCACATCAACGGATCAACAAGTAAAATCTTAAAAGAAAAATGTAATATTGAACTCCTTGTTGGATAGTCCTATCGGGGAAAGTGAGTCAATCCCTGCCTTCCACAGATTCCAGGTGTTTCCTGACCCGGGAAACTAGTACCTGCTAAGGGTCCCTTGTCCAGGGTCACGGATGAAGTCCACAACAGCATCCAGGGCGGAAGAGAAGGTCTTTTCCGCCCTGGAAGAAAGAGCACAACAAGGTGTTGCTATTGCTATTCGCAAAACTTTAAGAAGACATATTACCTCTTGGGAGGCAATTAATCAGAGATTGATAAAAATGAACATCACGATAAAAGGAAGCAGAATAGCCATATTAGGTGTATGTATGTGTATGTATGTAATGAGGACGCATTGGTCTACAGTAAAGATGCATTTTTCGAACAACTGAACGATGAAATTATAAAAGTAGGAACATCTAGGGAGATCATACTTCTAGGAGACTTCAACAGTAGAGTTGGATGGGAATTGAACAACAAAGTGGTAGGAACACACGGTGAAAATACCAGAAATGATAATGGAACCAGATTAATAACAACATGCACACAAACTTAAAAATATTAAATGGATTTTATCCACATCGCGATATACACAAATACACGTGGATACAACAGACCCGAAATCTGAAAACTATAATAGATTATAGCATTGTAAGACAGAAAACTTCTATTAAAATACAAGATGTGCGAGTAGCTAGAGGGCCATCATGTGGCACCGATCATCATCTGCTAAAAGTTTAAACGGTACTCCCAAACAGATACGAAAAAGATAAAGAGCACATCGAGTCAAATTAGTTAATAAAACAAGTACGGTACAACCTAGACAATTTAAACCATGAGAGTGTAAAGCTAATATATAAAAAACGATTAGACCAAAAATTAGAAATGGGTAGTTTTGAAAATACCGAAGAACACTACGAACACATCAAAAGGTCCATTCATTTAGCAGCAGAAGAAGCACTGGGGAAATGTGACGAAAATCATAAAGGAATAAAACCGTACTGGTGGGATGAAGAAATAGAGAAGGAAATTAAAGATAAACGTCGGAAATACCAAACATTTTTAACAACAAAAACAGAAAACGATAAAACAATTTACAAAGAAGCACAAGCCAAAGTAAGAAAAAAGATAACTCAAAAAAAGAACGAATCATGGAAACAGAACTACCAAAAGATCAACACCTACATAGGAGGTAGAAGAAGCACAGAGAGTTGGAGATTGATTAAAAGTATGAGAAATAATAAGAAAAAAGATGTTATATCACCAATAACAACAGAAAAATGGGAAGAATATTTCAAAAAATTACAAACAGAACAAAGACCAGAATTTGCTAACATGGAAGACAACACGATAGGTATACGTATAAATTCATCACCATTACAAATCAGTAAATCAGAGATGGAACAAATAACCGAATCCCTGAAAATTGGAAAATCCCCTGGTCCCGGTGACATCCCTGCAGAATTAGTGAAAGCCGGTACAGACAAACTCCAGGAACAGTTAAGAAAACTCTTCCAAGACTGATTGAATGGGGCCAAATTACCAAAAGAATGGAAATTATCTATCATGTCAACTATCTACAAAAAGGGCAGCAAGGATCAGTGTGAAAATTACAGAGGAATTGCGGTAAACAGCACAATAAGTAGGATGTATGGGAAACTTATTGAGAACAAAATAGAAAATGACTATAGAGATTATGAAGCAGAGGAGCAAGCTGGTTTTAGAGCTGGGCGATCCACAGTAGACCACCTGTACTCTATTACGCAAGTTATTGAGAAAAAAACAGCCTTCAATAAAGAAGTTCACCTGGTGTACATAGACTTACAGAAAGTATATGACAGTGTACCCCTAAGTAAACTATGGTCATCCCTACAGCAAACCAACATTAAGCATGGTCTTATCAAAGCAGTCCAAAGTCTGTATAATGGAACGACTGCAAAAAGTAAATTTGGATCAAGGATATCTGAAGGATTTAAAGTCACGAAAGGACTAAAGCAGGGTTGCTGTATTTCGCCTACCCTTTTCAAAATTTATCTGCAACAAGCACTCAAGCTATGGAAAAGAAAATGTAATGGCATGGGAATCCCTCTCAATAACGAGACTACACTGTACACCTTATGTTTCGCTGATGACCAAATACTGATTGCCCAGGATCATGACGACTTGAGTTACATGACTCGAAAGCTAATAGAAGAATATAACAAATGGGATCTCGAAGTCAACGTTAAGAAAACTGAAGCCTTGTGTATTGGAGGGACAAAACAATCCATTATATTAGACGATGGGGTAGAAATTAGAAACTGTGATGAATACAAGTACTAGGGTATGAAGATAACTCAAGATGGAACACTCGATGCTGCTATAAAAGACAGAAACATACAGGGTAGAAAAGCCATATCCATGATGAACGGCATTCTGTGGGACCAAACAATATCTAAAGCGAACAAACAACTCATATAAAACATCATACTTAAAAGTGTAATCACATATGGCAGTGAAGTGTGGCCAATGAAACAAATAACAGAGAAACTGTTACTAGCAACAGAAATGGACTTCTGGAGAAGAGCAGCAGGCAAATCAAGAAGAGATCGGATACCAAATGAGAGAATATGAGAAATGATGGGAGTCAAGCGTACAATAGTTGATGACATAAAAACAAAACAGTTACTATGGTACGGCCATGTACAGAGAATGCCAGATGACAGGATTCCAAAACAGATTTCAACGTGGACACCACAAGGGAGAAGGAAAAGAGGAAGACCGAGAAGAAGCTGGAGAGAGGGAATTGAAAAAGAACTAGAGGAAAGAGAAATCCCTTCAGGCCTATGGTTGAATCATCGAGCAAAAAGATAAAAGAGGGAATCTAATCGTTATGAAAAGGAGACCAAAAAAGTGACCTCTGATGGCGGGCATATCCGGAAATGCAAAGGCGCTAAATTTAAATTTTCCAACGCTTGTTAACAATAGCTGTAAAATATTTTTCAGACAAGAAAGTTTTAATTAAATATTAACGATAATAGTCTAAAAAGTGACACAATTGGTAAAAAACTTCAATATAAATAAAATTTCATGTGACAGTTGGGACAAACAATAACATAACCAAACTAAATTTGACTTCTTAAATAAGGAAAGAGACTGTCTATCCTTGTTTAAAGTGGCCTCTCAAGATAGCACTTCCTGTCTAACAATATTTTTGTCCCCACTACCTTTACATTCCCTCTTTTATCTTTTTGCTCGATGGGTTGAATAGAGAAGAATGGCGGTTAGGAGTCGGAAGGCGTCGGAGAACGCTGTAAACCGATAGTAGTAGGAGTAATATTTTTAACAAAATTTAATATTTATAATACAAGTTAAATATCTCATGTGTATGTATATATGTCGCTAATAACCTCAGAGGTTGATGCGACTATGTTTGTAAAATAACAAAAAAATTCCTACTTGTTTATTTAAATATTATCTTAATTTTATTTAATATATTTGTTTATACGAAAGTTGAAACATACTATTCTTTCGCAATATGTATAGAATAGATAAAATAATTAATTAAGTATGAAAAATATATGTAAACTATAAATTAAAAAAAACTTATTTATCGAAAGTCCTATTGTTAAAACAATTGCCTTATTTTTAATTAAAATAAATAAAAATTTAATTTTTTGTAGTCAAACAACCACCACCCACATTATCGAATAATCCTATTATATCCGTGTGTATATAATAATTGAGCATACAATCGTGTATAGTTTTTTTTTATTTCCTTTTGCCGTAGACCAAGTCATAGAAATCAGGTGATACCCTCTTACAGGTTGCTGTTACCAAAAATCTTTATAGCTTTATAGCAGTTCTTCTAACTAAATAGAAATGAAATTCAGTTGTTTCTCTATTTTCCTTATAACTTTTGCTGCAGTCGTTTATGGCCATAATATAGAAGAGTTCCCGATATTCGGCAGTCAGGATTATGCCGCAGAAAAGATTTCACGAGATTGGCCCTTCGAGGATAACGTAGATAAACGACCATTCTTAACAAGAGGTAAATTTTCAATACAATATTTACATGTTTTACAATTTCTGTAACGAATTTTCATTTTATAAACCAATGTACGAAGATTTTTAACTCCGAATTCGATATGGATCGATTTTCTTGAAATTTTAACATTGTGAAGGGATCCCTAAAAATACGATCCTAAGGCAATTCATAACGCCATCAATTCGTACCGGTGATACTTCATAACATCAACAGTTCGTAACTATACCTATTCAGAACTGCATCGTTCGTAACACGAACATTTAGTTTTTTAGCAAACTCAGTCTTACTGGATGTAGACAAAAATGCATTTGGCTTACTTCCCTACAATAAAAGTAGTGGTATTTTTTTAAGACTCCTTTTTAAATATATTTCATACATTGTTTTGCATATATTTTTGTTAATATAACAACAATTTTTTTTATCCTAAATTATCACTTTAGCCCATCAAAGACTGGCGTTGCCATATCGCAACGCAAAACACTGCTTATGTATCTCTGTGGTGTTTGGGAGACTTTTCAGTAGGGCAATTTTAATATTCGAGAAGTTTTCTTAAATCGAACGCAACAAAATAAAAAACAAAATATATTTCATTAAATCCTTTAAGTGGTAAAACAGGGTGTAACAAACGGAATATGTTTTAACATTTCTGTTTTTGATATAATGGCACATATAATATTTGTATCAAAAATATAGAGATTTAAAAAGTATTTTACGTCACACATATCAACCAAAGGAAGAAAGGGCCTATAGAGTCGTAATTAAATACCTTTACTATTCACATGCAACAGAAGATATCAAAGAAGAACTAACGAAACCGGATCACAAGGTAAGAAACATCATTCTTTGTTGACCTTGAACCATCAGATAATAACCAAGATATTTATAAAATTCAGAAATTACAACACTGCCATGTACAAATTGAACCACCTATAAAAAACAAAAATATCTTCCAATGTATGAGATGTCAATTATGTGGCCATTCAAAAACATATTGCAATAGACCATATGTCTGTGTGAAATGTGGAGGGCAGTACAGTACAAACAGCTGTAAAAAGAGCAAGAACGCACCAGCTACATGTGATTTATGTGGAGGAGATCACCTAGCTAACTATAAAGTATGCGAATATTATAGTAATTTAAATAGAAATAAAAATATAGCACAAACTACATATAATCATCACCAAAATATGTCGCAAGCACGTAACAGAAACTTTATACTCAACACTGTAAGACCAAATGTAAGCTATGCTAATGCAGCGAGTAATAGATAACCTCCTGCTGCTCCTTCAGATAACCAAGATTCAAACACCATTCTTATGAAGTTTTTAGAAGAATTCAAAGCCATGTTTAATCAAATCTTGCAACAAAACAGCTAAGTAAACTCGTATGCAAATAAAATTCTTTCTACGAATAGCAGAATGGAACGCCATTGGCCTGCTGAATCATAAGGACGAGGTGATAATATTTCTACAACAAAATTTTATAGATGTATTATTAATAAGTGAAACACATTTTGCAGACAAATCGTATTTTAAAATACCTCATTATCTAACGTACCATACTAATCATCCAGACAAGACAGCCCATGAAGGTACAGCTATCTTGATCAAACAATCAATTAAACATTTCATGATGGAAATTTATATAACAGACTGTATCCAAGCAACAGTAATTAAAGTGTGATCATTACCTTACGAAATAACAATAGCAGCAGTATATTGCCTTTCAAAGCACAATATTAAAAAAAAACGATTTCGGATCCTTCTTCAATACTCTAGGTCCAAAATTTATCGCAGCTGGTTGCTTTAATAGTAAACACACTTACTGGGGATTAGGATTAATATCAACAAAGGGGAGAGAGCTCTATAGCTTAATGCAAGAAAATAAATACTCATATTAATCAACAGGAACACCCACGTACTGGCCAACGAACCCCAAAAAAAGACCAGATCTCTCAGATTTTTGCATTATTAATAACCAACCTACTCCAAAACTGCATGGACCTAGAACAGCAGAAATGAAACAAATATTACCACCATTCTTTCGAATACTTACATCATACTTGAAAAACCGACAGTTTAGAACAAAAGTAAATGGATAAATATCTAAAATGCATCCCATTAAGGCGGGAATTCCACAGGGCAGCGTCCTAGGACCTTTATTATATATATTATATACTTCTGATCTACCAACTTCACATAACCTAATAATTGGCACATTTGCAGATGACACAGTAGCACTTACAATTCACAAACACATTAACATAGCTATACAACAACTCCAAGACTATTTGTATGAGCTTGAAAACTGGCTAAAACAATGGAAAATAAAAATAAATGAAAACAAGTCAACCCACTTAACTTTCACTTTACGACGAGAAACACCATCACCAATATAATATATCAACAATGAGGAAATACCCAGGACTAGAACAACCAAATACCTAGGGCTACACCTGGACCAAACCCTGTGTTGGAAAGAACTTCTTCATCTTCGCGTGCCATATCAGATTTATCTGACGTTGGCGATCACGATTGCGAAGGCCTCTCGTTCTTCTGCAATGGAATTGGAAAGAACACATCACCAAGAACAAGAAAACAAATACAACTAAGATAAAAAGAAATCAATTGGTTAATTGAAAAAACTCCAAACTGTCAATAAATAATAAAATTCTAATTTATAAAACAGTTATCGAACCAATATGAACATATGGCATAGAGCTGTGGGGCTGTAGTAGTAAATCTAATATTGCTATTATGGAAAGATGGCAATCAAAAATCTTAAGAGCAATTATTGATGCATCCTGGTACGTAACCAACCAAAGAATCTATGAGGATCTCAATATCTCAACAGTGAAAGAAGTATACCAGCAAAAGAAATTACAATACATTCAAAAAGTGAACACACACTCCAATCCATTAATTTCCACAATACCTCAACATCGAGTTATCAGAAGACTAAAGGGACGTTGGCCAACAGACCAGTAACATAGACCCGTGATTCTCTCACTGGAGGGGACCACATCACGCCAGAGCCAAGAGACAGGACCTAAACTCATCACATTAACTTATAGAATACTTTGTTTTATTCTGATTGTTAATTTATTAATTATAATAAAAAAAAAAACATAATGGTATCATGGCCACCTTCTTTATATAGTTCAGCTGGGAGATTATCTATTCCGGAGTTTTTTAACTGCATCTTTAACCCCAAGAATCCTTGATGTATCTCTTCCCTCTCGTCTTCTCCCGTTATCTCATCTCTCTTGTCTTCCAGATTTTCTTCTTCGTGCTCCATATTAAGTGCCTGGTTAAAGTATTGCACACATCCACTCAATACATCTTTTCTTGTTGTTAATAATTCGCCATTCTGACTTCTGCATTGTCTTGTGGTTGAATTGAATTCTTTTCTGTGATGTTAACTTTCTTATAGAATGCTCTGAATTCTTTCTCTTTTAAGAGTTAGAACGTATAGAAAAATATATTATCATCTATACATTTCTTGGTAGAGTGATATTTTAAAAACTTTCCGAGATGTAAAAAATTTGTATTTTCATTTATTTAATCTTATTGTTCCAAACCTTAGACAATACGAAAGAGCTCTAAACCCATCCTTGAAGACTTCTTTTTTCCCATCCGGTATATAAGACGGATCAAGACGATCCTTATTTTACTCGGTAAGAATACAATATAGATCATGTACTTATGAAATAAGTAGAATGGAACATAATGTTGTTATTTTTTTAAGTACCTAACTGATTTAATTATTCACGTTGAATAAATACTGTCGTTGTTTCATCGACATTAGATACTATTGCATGCATTTGTTATTACTATTATCAAACGCTTTCACTTTCTGCAATGTAATATTATCGAAGATAAGGTCATATTATTGATCTTTGAAATATGCTTAAAAATATTATTTCAACAATAAAACACTGAAAATTTTGTTTTCAAATCGCTTATCAGGATTCTCGATCGAACCTCCGAACAGTAAACATATCAGCAATTAGCGATAATTGATATTTAATATTAGCTTGTTAGTTTGGACAAAATAAGGAATTTTTTTGATTCAAATGTAGAATTTTGTTTATATCTAAAATTTAAACAAGGTGCAGTGTAAAAGTGTTATTTCTTATGGACTAAAAACTGTAAGTTTGATTTTCCTATTTCATCTATAACAAATCAAGGGTAAACAACTATTTTGGCGTGAGGTTAATTAAAAGTCGTTCCGGTGATGATCCATTAAGCATATAAGCACCAAGGCCGTATTCAGGTTATTTAGCCCAAGCATGGATATGGATTCAACAACGGGAGCTTCCATTATGTAAAGTTTTGGCAATCTACTTGTAAACCAACGATCAAAACTATATTCTACAGCTCTTAATTAACCTACAAATAAATTTTCAAACAAAAAACAAGCAATTCCACTTGGAAAGAAATGGCAGTATTGAAGGAATACAATAACATACCAGCAAACGAATGGGAAAGATAGCTGACCGAACTGTTTACAGGAAAAGAAAATAATAAATAACACAATACCGTACCTGAATTAAGACACAAATAGAAATCAGTTTTCAGGAAGTAGAGAGAGAGCCATAAATTTAATCAAAAATAGAAAGTCACCAGGACCAGATGAAATATCCAACGAGCTTATAAAACACAACGGAGAAAATATAACCCTAGAGATGACCACTACCACAAAAGTCCTAACCAACAAAATCAATAAAATAACAACTTTATCAGATGAACAACAAGGATTCGGATCCGGAAGATCCTGCGTAGACGCCGCAGTACTACATTTGTACTAAGAAAAATCCCAGAAAAGGCCATCAAGTACAATAAACCAGCATATCTATGCTTAATAGGCCTGATAAAAGCTTTAGATCGCATCCAAGTCAAAGACGTCTACACTAACTGTATAAAAGAAACATACCAATCAATATTATACAAACCATCTAAAACATCTGCTTCCATAATCGAATACAGACAAAGATAAATGAAATACCATTACAAAGCGGAGTCAGACAGAGTGACTCGTTAAGCTCACTTCTCTTCAATATAATAATAATGGACGAAATAATACAAGCAGTATGTGAAGGTCATGGTTACAGAATGGGAAACAAAGAAATCCAAATATTATGTTATCCAAATATTATAAAAGCGTCGATACAGACGACAGCCGCATTAATCGCCGAGACAAAAGACGAGCTCCAAAGATTAACACACATCTTTAATACCACAGCCAAGAAATACAATATGATAATATCAGCAGAATAAACCAAATGTATGACAACATCTAAATACCCACTACGATGTGAAATCGAAATAGATAAAAAAAAATAATAAAGCAGGAGGCAAGGTTTAGATATTTGGGAATAGACATAACTAGTTAAGAAGATGTTGAAGAAGAAATACGGCAACAAAGCTTAAAAGCAAGTAAAGTGGCAGGATCTCTTAATGAGACAATCTGAAAGAACAAACACCTAAGACAAGATACAAAAACAAGAGTCTACAAAGCAGCAATTACACCTATATACACGGCAGAGATGAGACCTGACACATCTAAAACGAGACGACTACTAGAAACAACAGAGATGAAAGTACTTCGACGAATATCAAAGAAAAGTCTGTTGCATAGGAAGAGAAGTTGTTGAAGAAGTATTGGCAGACCAAGAAACAATTCAGGAGATTAACATTGAAGAAGAAACAGACTTTAAAGCCTACATACAAGAAGGAAGAAGAAGAAAAAGTAAGAAATGGTGACTTACGACTCGGTGTCACTCACCGGAAAAGATTGAGACAAAGTATATTTTCCAATATACAAGGTATGTCATCAAATAAGCTCAAATAAAAGATATTAGATGCAATCATCCTGATGCAAAGTTTATGCTTACTTCTATATTTTTGATGTACGATAATGTTCGTATTAAGTGTAACTGTTAAAACATAGGCTAAAATTTCATAATTTTTTTATAGACTGCTTCAGACCTGTTGATGGTAGTCCCAAACCTATAATGTGCATGGCGGCTATTTCTGCTTGGAGTTTTGATATGAAAAGTAAATCTTGTAAATCAACAGTGTATGGAGGATGCAACCCAACTAAGAATCTTTTCTACACTAAAGCTCAATGCGAAGAAGTGGCAAAGCCAGTTTGCAAAAAGTTGCTTCACATTCTGGAGAACGTCGATCTAATTAATATACTTGATATACTAATTTATAAAGTTCAAGATTGATGTTATTATTTACCTAATTTTACATTCAGTTATTGTACTAGTTATTTTCATTATTGATAATATGTAATATACAATTATCTAAAAAATGATGGTATTAAATATAATTGACCCTAACAACTGGACTGGAGAAAAATTTCAAGGTACTTTATCTCCAAATACAATGTTCTTTGGAATCATGCTGGTCACCAGTATGGTGCAGTCAAGTTCCAAAATAAGTTCTTAAGAAAATCTTGGTAACACCATATAAATGAAATTTTAGAGCCCATACAGAAACATTGTCTCACGGTCAGCAACCCCCAAATTAGGAGTCTTACGTTGCCATGGAGGGTATCTGTTAAAAATTTTAACATGGCACCAAATTATTAACAAAGATGTAATAAATAACTTATTTTGTACCATTTTAAGGGTTTTTATTCATATATTTAGTGACTCATGTACACCTATTAAATGCACTGATGATGTACTTGTTAATCCGAAAACGTTCTAAGATGTAACATTAAAAGATCATTTTAATTGTATACCTTTTATAATGGATTTTTATATAAAACTTTTGTGATTTACGGTATACATATATACACTACAGGATATACTAGTATACATATATCGCACATCAGCAACAACACTGTCACAAGTCGAAATTCAGTATTTTTTTATTTTTGTTGTAATAAATAGGTATTTTATTAAACTTTCGTCAGCATCACTGTCAAAAAGATATTTTGTCATATAAGCGCTAGATGGCGACTTATGTCCATTATAGCTATAACTACTTTTGTAGAACATTATTCAACAATAGTGTTACAACTCACTTATGACAGTATTGCAGTAATTTTTAGATAAATATTTTTTTAAATTAAGTGAGCTATACTACTATTATTTACTAATAGCGATGGGTCTTGACAACAACACTGTCACATTATTCTGAAAGCCATGTTGGGGTGTGTTTTCTGTTTATTAAAAAAGGGTTTTTTTGTGAATTTGTCATAGAAGAATGACTAATCAGTCAATATACATCTATAGAGACAGCTATCAGAAAATATCTGACATCTATAGATTATAAAACAATTTGTATGGAAGAAAATAAATTTTTATATCTCATTTTTCCATCCTAAGATCAGTGCAGTATGTGTGCAGAGTATAAAAATACAAAGAGTAAGGTCAATTTACAGAAAAATTGTGATCGTCATTTAAAGGAAAAAGATCTGTCACAAAAAAAGATAAAGATAAGCAAAGAAGCAAAGCACGTGAGTGTATTACGGTCTCTTTTGATTTACAGGCAGTTCTCTACACACATTGTGGGGCATTAACTCCTTTAACTGTAAATCAAAGTTAAGTACGAATAACTTTACTATATTTGACTTACGATTATTGAATGGTTTCTGCTACATTTGGCACGAAGGAGAAGGTAACTCTGCATCTAACGAGATAGGATCATGATTATACTCATTTTTTAAAAATGAATCTTGTAAAGGGCTTCCTGTTGTATTTTACTGCGACAATTGCTATGGTGAGAACAAAAACAAATTTACAATCTCGTTACTTCTTTAAATAGTAAGCAAACCCGATATTCCTTTGATCATTTAAAGTTTTTGATTGTTGGTTATAAGCAAAATAAAGGGGACAACATGCACTCCTTGATTGAAAAACAGAAGAAATATCCTATCACAATTTTGTGGTTTTGGAAGGAAAACACCTTTGGGTTTTCAGCAACATAGACACATTTGGTAATAATTAATATGTTAGTTTCAAATTTCTACAATGCACAATATTAATTGATAAAACAACCTAAATTAATCTTATTGAAGTAAAAAATAACAAAACTTTCATACAATTTATAGAAATAATCCAACATTAATTAGTAAGGATAATCTTCATACCCGATTTACTCAAATTAGCAATTTTTGACTTATGACAGTGTTGTTGCTGAGGTGCGATATGTATATCTACATATACAACAGGAATTTTATTTTCACCTCAGTGGATCAAACCGACTGATGAATAACTAGTATGGTAACAAACAGTGACTTACGACCTAGTGTTGCTCACAAGATTAAGACGGTAGATAACCGGAATATAGATACAATTAGAAAAATAGTAAAACCGTTAATACAAATTATTGAAGAAAAAGTTTAGAGCATAATATGACAAATCTTCTTCTTCAAGTGCCATCTCCGCGGAGAAGGTCGGCAATAATCATAGCTATTACGACTTATGAGACGGCTGCTCTATAAAGTTCATTTGATGTACATCCGTACCACTCTCTCAGGTTGCGCAGCCATGACATTCTACGCCTCCCTATGCTTCTCTTTGCTTGGATCTTTCCCTGCATAATCAGTTGGAGCAAGGTGTATTTCTCTTCACGTGTAATATATCCGAGATATTCTAATTTTCTTGTTTGTATTGTACTTAAAATTTCCATTTATTTATTCATCCTTCCCAAAACCTCTTTGTTTGTGACGTGTTATGTCCACAATATTTTCAGAATTCTTGTGTACACCCACAGCTCGAATGATTCAAGTGTTTTCATTGATGTCGCATTCAAGATCCAAGATTTCATTTCATAAAATAAAGTCGAAAAAACATAGCACCTCGCCAACCTAACTCTTAGATCCAGTTCTAAATCCCTGGTACATGGCGCTCTTCTCGTTTTGTTGAAATTTGCTTTAACCTTTTCTATTCTTATTTTGATCTTCTGATTGTAATCATTTGTGGAGTTAATCATTGTTCCCAGGTATGTATATTTGTCCACCTGTTCGACGATGGTTCCGTTTATTAGAAGATTCTCGGTATTTCATTGAGTGTTCGATATTATCATAAATTTTGTGACAAATATGACAAATACAAACTGTTCATCATGTTAGTTTGATAAAGAACATAGACTGCTTCAGACCTGTTGATGGCAGTCCCATCTCTATTATTTGCAAGGCAGCTCTTCCTGCTTGGAGTTTTGATATGAAAAGTAAATCTTGTAAACCAAAATTTTATGGAGGATGCAACCCAACTAAGAATCTTTTCTACACTAAAGCTGAATGCGAAGAAGTGGCAAAGCCAGTTTGCAAAAAGTTGCTTCACATTATTATGGCGATTCTAATTTTATTAACTGCTGTTTTGAATAATTCGTTAGTGGTACAGCCAAACCACTCTCTTAAATTTCTCATCCAGGACATTCTTCTACGGCCTGGATTTCTGCATCCTTGGATTTTTCCTTGCGTTATATTTTGTAAGAATGTGTACTTTTGTCCTCTCATCAGGTGGCCTAAGTATTCAAGTTTTCTCTTTTTTATATTCATAATAACTTCTAAATCGTTATTTATTCTGCGTATTACTTCTTCATTTGTAATTCCATCCACCCAACTTATTCTTAATATACGGCGGTAGCACCACATCTCAAAGCTTTCAAGATTTTTAATATTCCTCTGTTTAAGAGTCCATGCTTCAACGCCGTAAAACAAAGTACTGAATACATAGCATTTTAACATTCTAGTTCGTAGATGAATACTAATATCACGATTACAAAATAATTTTTTCATTTTTATAAAGGTAGACCTGGCAATTTCAATACGTCTTTTTACAAATATGTCATCAAATATGCTCAAATAAAAGATATAAGATGCAGTCATGCTGATGCAAAGTTTATGCTTAGTTCTATATTTTTGATGTACAATAATGTTTGGATTAAGTGAAACTGTTAATACATAGGCTAAAATTTAATAATTTTTTTATAGACTGCTTCAGACCTGTTGATGGCAGCCCCATCCCTTTATTTTGCAAGGCGGCTTTTCCTGCTTGGAGTTTTGATATGAAAAGTAAATCTTGTAAACCAACATTGTATGGAGGATGCAACCCAACTAAGAATTTTTTCTACACTAAAGCTGAATGCGAAAAAGTGGCAAAGCCAGTTTGCAAAAAGTTGCTTCACATTCTGGAGAACGTCGATCTAATTAATATACTTGATATACTAATTTATAAAGTTCAAGATTGATGTAATTGTTTACCTAATTTTATATTCACTTATTGTACTAATTATTTTCATTGTTGATAATGTGTAATATACAATTATCTAAAAAAGGATAGTATTAAATATGATTGACCCTAACAACTGGACTGGAGAAAAATTTCAAGGTACTTTATCCCCAAATACAATGTTCTTTGGAATCATGCTGGTCACCAATATGGTGCAGCCAAGTTCCAAAACAAATTCTTGGTAACACCATATATATATATAGTCCGTCTAAAAAGTATCCGGAATTTTATATTTTTCCTAATTTTAATAGATTTCCTTTTTGTACCATTTTAAGGCAAAAGTAATGCACCAAGTAGGTTGTGCCGATAGTAGGTTATGGATAAAATCGCATGACAACACCATCTGTCAAATATTATTGTTTGCAAACAGACTTAATATTTGTGAAATAATGTCGCAAGTAGAAAAAAGAAAAGTGGTGGAATATTTGTACAAAAATGGTGTCCGAAACGTTAAAAAATTATTGCAATTGACTGAACTCGGAAAAAGTGCAGTGTATGAGACAATAAAGAGGATAAAAAATGGCATAGATATGAGACATAGACCAGTTTCGGGTAGACCGCGTAAGATTCGCGGAAACAATTTAAATGTTTTAGTGGCATCCCCTTCGAAGGAATATGTATGTATGTTGTTCCCATCAAATTTCTCAGCAAGTAAGTTATTATTAAAAATTGAAAATTTATCCGATAATTTTAAAACTTTTGTGGTAGGTATTACAATAAAATATTTTCACAAAGACGATTTAATCACTTTTTTAGAAATACATCAATTTCTTATTTAAAATCAATTAGAATTTGGGTGTTTTATTTAAATTCAAATGAAATATCCATTAAATTTATATTATCTCTATTGGGAAATACGTTTATTGTGTTTACTGTGAAACGAATTAAAGTTAAAATGTAATCAGAATTTTTAATGTTTAACCATTACTTTAAATTACTTAATGTTATTAGACTTTTGTAGTGATAAAAAGGTCAAACCTATAGATCTAAAGTAAATCGGTTGACTTTATTGCAAGAATTCAAAATAAAGCTATAAAATAAACATTTCTAGGATATAAAG